GCCGTTGTTTGGTACCAGTGATGGACCCAGCACCAAAGTTCAACACGGGCGGACCGACTGTTATTATTGACCAATTGACCGTCGACAATCAACGATTGTAATAGCGAGATCATTTATTAATATTTAATTAAATAATATTAAAATTTATTTATTATATATGTAAATGCACTAAAATATAAAAATTATATACATATGAAAATATAATTCAATACAACCCAAAATACTACAAAAAGTACGCGATACAACCTTAATTCAAGTTTGACCCATTCGTACCTCCGTTGTTTCGATTAACATTGTTTGGAAGGTCGCTTGTCATATTAACAGGTTGCAACTTGGAAATTTTCATTCTGTGACATAATCAAAAAATACAATTCTGTAATGACACCTTACAAGAAATAAGAATATCAAAATTACCTTCATTTGCATGCATAGAGTGGATATAAATGAATTCAATATGAAGTTCACACAACTATTCTTGCATTATTTTAATTATTTACACTCAATAGTTGAAAATTTTACATTTATTTCATATCCGAAAATTTACAAACTGGTGCTTAAAGTTTCTTGAGTGTGAGAAAAGCACTGTTACAAATTAAAAACACAAAAAATAGGACATGACGTGTGACGGTTCAAACACATACTCCTCAAGTGTCAAAATTATAAAGTAATATATAAGAAATATGATATGCCACGTGAAACGTCGGATACCGGCATTTCACTCTAGGACAGGGGACTACGTTATCTGATCATTCGTGCGAGCAAGGACGATATGTGACAGGGTATAAGGTGTTTAAAGAGGGTGTGAAGTTGCACAAGATTCCAGATTTTCATACTTTGAAGTATTTAGCAGAAGGGCTGGCCAAGAATGGACATAAGAACGAGATGAAAGCGATGATTCGAACTATGAATAAGAAGTTTCCTCCTAATTTGCTGAAGGCTTGGGGGAAGCTTGTGGAGGATGGGCTTGGCTTCTATTGACAATAACAAGGTTGATTCTGGTGAGTCAGAAATGGCGAGTACCTGAGTTTTTGTGTCTTGAATTGGTAGACTATTGTACACTTTTGAGCAAGTTAGATTGGATTTTTGGGTAGTCATAAAACTTCATGATAATGTTTTCTAAGTGCTGTTGCATACAGCTCAAAGCCGAGGGCTACATGTGGAGCTCATCAAGATTTATAATGCATCTCGTGATATTTAGAACATCAAAAGCATATGTACTTTCATTTTTTTGTTAATGTTGATCTCATCTTTAATTTTAAGCATGTGTACTTTCATCCTTTTCTTTTACTCTTGATTCTTTTTATTTTTTGAATTGTTTTGGATCCCATTCAAGGAAAAACTTAAGTGTGCAGAAGTTCTATTTTCCCATATGGTTTTACTAGACTATTCCTTATTGCCTAAGTGTGCTTTGGTTTGCTATTGTTTTAGTCTGTCTCCTTACCTAGTTAGTGCCTACCTGGTCTTATGCACCAACACATTGCATTGTAATGTCAAAAGTAGAGTTTTGACCCTCTGTAGTGTTCATATTTTTTACCATGTATCATTATCTATGGTGGCGAGTTGAAGCTTAATTCTGTAATTTTGTTGATTGGAAAACAAATTTGGAGTCTGAAGTTGAAATTGTTCGAATTGTGCATCGATAGGTGCTTCATTTTCGTTTTCCATTGAGGTCGAACCTAAACTTGAACACAAAAGAGCTTTTCATACATTGATAAGGGATGTATGAATTCTCTAAAAAGAGAGAATCCATGGGGTTCCCTCTGAAATGCCCAATTGTTAGTGAAAAATATCTACAAAATATCGTCACGAATTTATGCCATCAATCTTGGACAATGATTATATGAATGCTACAAAGCACTTGCATCAAGGGATTTTGGAATTCTTTAAAAAACCTGGAACTTGCAACTACTTTCTGAAGTTTTCTATGAGGCGGAAGCCAGCATCATTAGGAAGATCCCAATCAGTTTAAACGGTTCTCCGGACAAACTCATTTGGA